TGTTGGAACAGGCCCATTCGCCATTTGGTTTACGGATATGAGGAATGGTTGTGTATGGTTTCTTTAGCTTCTTAGTGGCCTTCCATAACGTCTGGTCATTTGCTGTAAGATTTGTTATGTAATGTTCGAAGGTTTCGTTGTTTGCAGCTTTGATGGCTACTCCAAGTTGCCTTCGTAGTCTATTGAATATATGTAGGTCTATGTTATTTCTAGATCTTTGCCAAGTTCTCCTCGCACGACGTTTTTCAGCAATGAGTTGGCGAATGTGCAGGGGAACATTTGTGGTATGTGTTGGTTTGCGTTCAGTTCGTGGTGTAGATTGCCATGCCGCTTTTTGCACAAGTGTGGTGAAGTATTGAGCTGCTGTATCTATGTCATGTGTAGATTTGATCCGCTGATTAAGATGGGTGTTTTCTTCTAGGTAGGATTAAAAATCTGCCCAGTCGGTGTTTTTTGACGTGAGTCGAGGAGGTGGTGGGCTGTTTATAACTGTGGTACTCAGGCTCATAATAACCGGTGTATGATCCGATGAGAGATCATAGCTGGATTCTATTAGACAGTTGGTTCTGGACACTCCTTTGCTTATGTAGTAGTCCAGCAGATCTGGAAGTTTTCTTGGATCACTTGGCCAGTACGTAGGGATTCTGTTGGTGTGGCAATCATAGTTGTTGACGGTCATTGCTTTTAGAAGATTACGACCTTTTGTTGTTATGAGTCTTGAGCCCCAGTGTATGTGTTTCGCATTCCAGTCTCCCCCGGCAACGAATTTGCTGCGAAGTAATTGGAAGAAGGCTTTGTATTCATCTGTGGAGATTGTGTGACGAGGTGGGCTATACATTGCAGATATGTTAAAGTGCCATGGTGTTGAATTTACTTGAACGATTGTTGCTTGTATTTTTTCTGTTGCATAATTCGGCAATACATGATGTGATATGCAGCTGCGGATGATTACCGCCGAGCCACCATGAGCTGTACCATCAAGATGAGGTGTGCTGTATGTGGTATAGAGCGGAATATTGAACGTAGTCAGATCGGTAAAGTGAGTTTCTGAAATAAGCAGAACGTCAATTTTATTTAAGTTTAAAAAAGTAATTACTTCTTGCTTATGGTTTAGCAGGCCGTTAGCGTTCCATGTGGCAACTCTAAGTATGTTTAAGAATTTCTTTGGTTAATGACTTGTGTTAGTAAGTTTAATATCATACTGTTTTGACTCATGAGTTGTGAGAACATGTTTTTGAACTCGTTTAGGAATGTTAATAGTTGTTGTTCTATATTAGTTTTAGGTTCTGAATCGTGATTTGTTTGATTTGCTGTCACGTTTGCATATGTTCTTTGATGGTTTTGTAGAGTATTTAGCTGATTTGTTTCAGTATATACATGTGGACTGTTGAATGTTGGTCCTTGAGGCTGTTGGTTTCCTCTTTTCTGCAAATGTCTGTTTTCTACTAGTTCCCTGTAGACTACACAGCCTTTATAGTTAGCAGGGTGACCTTCTTTGCATAGTGCACACTTAGCTGGAGTGCTTCTAGGTTTTTTACAATCTTTTGTATTGTGTTGTCCTCCACATTTAACGCAGTAATGCGGTTTAGTGCAATATGTTTTACTATGACCATATGCTTGACATCGCATGCATTGAATGATTGAGTTTCTCTTATTTGGTGTCTCGACTGCTATTTTGGTGTGACATAAGAATTCTAGGTTGAATATGTCTTTGTTGTTACTGTTGGGTTCAAGATCTATGAAAAACAAAGATAAAGGTTCCTTTGTTTGCCTGTGTCAAATGTTAGTTACATTGCGAACTTTATGGCCGGCTTTTTCTAGTTCCTTTATTATATCTGTTGTGGGTATAGAGTGATGAATATGTCTTATTACCACTCTATAGGCACGCTCTTCCTTTATTTGGTAAGTGTGGTGAATGATTTCTTCTTCTCGTAAATGTCTTATCAGTTTACGGTATGTATCTATTGTATATGTTATAATCTTGACAGTGTCGTTTGGTAGAGTTCTGGTATAGTAGGTTTCTTCCTCCACAATTTGTGCAAAGTTATCGACCATATCTTTAAAGTTTTTGACGCCATATACGAATATTGGAGGTGGTTTTGGTATTTTCTGTTGTTTTTCTGTTTCAGTCTGTTCAGAGCTCTCAGCGTTAGATAAAGCACTGTATCGATTTTGTATTTTTGTTGGTGGTGAGCTTGGAGAATTGGGATCATTATTTTGTTTTGAAAAATTTACGTTTTTTGACTACTTGCCATGAGTTTTTATTTTGGGTTTCTTGATCGTCGTCCTCACTAGACTCCATATCCGTGTTTTCTGAATGACTAATTGCAAGTTTTAGCTTTGTGTTTGAGGTCTGCCCTACAGTAGATGGGTTGCTTGGGTTGTAGTAAATTGGTTGGGGTTGTGGGGGAAATTGTTGTGGTTGTGGTGGAAGAGCGAATTGATTTTGTGGAATGTTTGATATAGGAGTATTTGCGGGTTGCCAGTATATGTGGTTTGGTGCATGTTCGGATGTGTATTCTAGTGGAGAATATTGTTGAGGAGTTGGGTACATGTTCTTAAATGTTTGTTAATAGTGGACCTGCTGCTTACCTGCAATTTCTGCTGATACTACAATAGACACTGATTGTTTGTGTTCCGTGTATGTGAATTGTTCATTGTAGAAAACAGAATTTGGTACGCCACTGCCACTTTACTGTTTATTTTAATAACTAGAATTTCTAATAATTAGATTTTAATTGTTCTTATCGGTGGTCACTTTTTGCTATCGCACTCGGCGGAATACGTCCTTACTCTACGATATACAAGTGAACACTACGCCCATAAAATGGAAATTTTATTTTTGCTGAACTGAACGAGGTAGTGGCGTTGCAAATAATACTTATGATTAACAATAGGTCAAATTGTTGAACATAGGTACAAAATAAATACAATGCATTAAAAAATAATATTGGATTATATTTGACAATAGTTTTGTACTATTAAAGTAATACGTATTTTAATTATTATTTGTTGTAAAAGATTTCTTTAACTTTAAAACCGCTATTTTTTATAGAACATAGTACTACTAAAATATTTTGTAAATAGTAGATAATTAGTATTATTATAGTAGATAAGTTATTTATTTCTGCTTTTTTCAATATCAGGACTAATATTGCCTATTTTGTCGTAATTTTTTTCTCGTCCCACATATAAAGTAAAATAGTCAACACAAAGTATGGACATATGGTAAGTCAAAACATAACCATTTCTAAAGAGGTTCGGCAAGGCTGCATTCTTTCACCAATGCATTTTAAGATTAACATTTTTAAAATAAATGTTTCTGGAAGTACTAGAAGAGTACAATACAGGCATTAACATTAATAGCATACCAATAGGTAATTTTTGATATACAGATGATATTGGTCATAACATTAAAAATTTGCATTTGCATGATGCTCAATGGAGTAAATACTGTAGGTGAATATCTGAGATACATAGTTAATGATAAGTGTGACTCTGACGTCAAGAGTAAAATTAGAATTGAAATAGCAAGATCTTCTTCTTCTTAGCCTATTATTGTTAATTTTTGAACTGGGCTTCTCCCAAGTTCTTCCAGTTATCTCTATCCTGACCAGCATACGATTTGTTTTAGCTATTATTTTTATGTAATCTACCCATCTTATCTGTGGTCTTCTTTTTGGTCGTCTACCTTGGAAAAGTCTGCAATAATGTTGTATTGTTCACTGCTTCAATAACGTCGTTTTCTATAATAAGTGGTCATTACAACTCTTTTTCAAGAGATAGTTTTGTTAAATTTAACAAATGATTTGATATATCCAGCTCTTTCATTGCTTTGAATATTTCTTTTCTATTCACAGAGTTGTAGGCTGCTTTGTAGTCTATAAATATGTGATCAGTATTAATGCCATATTCCAGTGTTTTCTTCCAAAATTTGTTTTAGGGTTGCAATCTGATGAATTGTGGATTTACCACCTCTGAAAATAGCCTGGTATTTTCCTAGTATAATTTCTGCATAATTATGGTACCATACGCATACGACATAGTACTATGGAAAATATTTTATATGCTGAATTTAGAAGCGTAAATCCTCTGTGGTAAGAACATTCCAAGATATCTCCTTTTTTGTGTATGGTCAAAAGTATTCCAATATTCCAATCATTGGGGATGGATTTTTTTGTCCATATTTCTTTCATAAGTTGCTTGTAATTCCATTATGGTAGATATCATGGTCACCTTCTTTATATAGTTTAGCTGGGAGATTATCTATTCCGGGTGATTTGTTTCTGGCTAGTTTTATAACTGCATATTTAACTTTAAAGAATCGTTGCGTTGGTGGTTCTTCTTTCCTCTCGTCTCTTTCCCTTACCTCATCTCTTTCGTCTTTCAGGTTTTCTTCTTCCTCCTCTAAATTGAGTGTTCTGTTGATGTTAACTTTCTTATAGAATCCTCTGAATTTGTTTTCTATATTGAGGTTTTTTATATAATTAAGTTCCTTATTTGGGTGGTTTTGATCTTAGACTTTTTAGAACTGTTTTTTTAATCACTTGCTCAATTAAGTTTTCGTTTCATTTTTTAATTTACGTTGTAGTTCATTTTTAATTATTTTATTAAGTTTTACATGTGATTTAGTTTATTTAGTTTATTTTCCACTAGTAGTTGTCTTCTTTTTTCATTAATTGTGTATTTTCGTTGCTTATTTTGTCTTTTTTGATTCTTGTTTTCTTTGGAACTGTAATCCGGCTTTCAGAAGGTTTTTAGTTATGTTTCTGGTAATGTCGTCAACTTGGTCTTGGTTTTTGTTAAGGATCTAATTCGAATTTACCCGCTAAGACCTTTTTGAATTTCTCTTTATGTCTTATTTTGAAGGGATTTATCCGCGTTGTTTTTTTTTAAGTTCCTAAAAATTTAAGAGAATGGTTTCAAATATCAGAAGCTGCAAACATAATATGCGCGGCACAAAACAGAGAAACCTATCATTTAATGATAGCCAACATTTATTAGAAGTTGGCACATAAAGGAGAAGATATTTTGGTCATGAGATTGGACGCAGTTGATTTAAGTTCTGGATCTCTTTTGTTTACAAACTCCGTTTGAGCCAATGCTCTTGATTTTTTTAATTGCAGTCCTACTGCTGCTTCATTTTGGTGTTCAGACAACTCTAAATTGAAATTTTCTATTAAGTCAAAGAATAATTGATCTATAGAAAGTTATTTTATTTATACTTTTATATTATTTATATAATTATATTTCTTTCTTAATAAATAATTTGCAGTTTAATAATAAAGTAACAACGTGTCAAATCTAAAATCCAACGTAAGAGGGTAAAAGATATCTGGATTTCCAATTAATGTCTTTCAATTTTGCCGTGCCATGTTTTTCGGAGAAAAGTGACAAATTGATGACATAGCTCCAGAAACTAGCGATAGACCTCATTAGTGTTGTTAAAAAATTCCGCTCTAAGATTTATGCCCTGTCTCTACACCGTGGAGATTGGAGACTTGTACTGAGAATATAGACAGTTGAAAACTATAAGAACAAGACAAATTTATTAACTGGGGAAACACCATTTGCAGCATATAATAAAAATGGAACAATTTGATTTTAATGATATAAAAATAAATTTTAAATAGTTTTAAATATTATATGTCAGATTTTACTTAATACTTGAAGCTACTAGATATATATATATTTTTTAAATTTACTGTAAATAATAAATATAAGTAGAGTGAGTTAAATAAGTTTTTCTTCAAACGTCAAATAATGATGACATTATTTATCTAACTTGATCCTGTCAAAGTTTGATGTCTCCGCCGGCAGCAGTTTTTTTCTCATTTCTTTATGGCGGATGGAAAAATGTTGTCATGGCAACAATATGAAACATGTCACAAAGCAACAATACAAATGTCATTAACAACAATTAAACATCATTTTTATTTATAGTAATATTAAAAGTACAATTAGTTAATGAGGCATTTTCAAAATTGAAACCGTGCAAAAATGTTCCCGACTCTTGATACGCATTGGTCGAGAACAACTTTCAGCAATCATGAGGGTTTAAAATTTTTTGAGCATTATCGTTCTTATTTCTTATTGAATCCTCTATATATCCTTCGGCAACCGTGCTTGATTTTCAGCCCCCATGTCGTTTGAGGCATTCTAGATTTCCGCCTCCATCAATTAAAAGTGTTGCTGAAGTTCGTCATAAAGAGTGACCCACGTATGCGCTTGCATCGTTTAAATTTAAATAACTAGCTACTTTTTGGGTTACTGCGCTGATCGAATGTATTCCCATGACGCTTCGGTAACACTTTCCATTTTGGTAGGTACTTGATAAAAAATCGATTTTCTGTGAAATTTTCAGGCCGCAGTGATGCATACTTTTTATACAGTTTAATGTACTTTTGACCAATTATCGTAAAAGATCTAAATTTGTCGTATTTTACTGTCTGGGATTTTGATAATTATTACATTTTCTTTATCCTCAATGTCCACAGTCTTCATTTTTACCATTTCGTCGCATCGACAGGCGCCGGTAACCCCAATTAATAAAACAATCTGAAATATTTTTATAATTTAGTAGAGTATACTACATGCTTTGCAATATAATTTTCTTTTACCTTTAATCCTAAATACAACTTATCTGGCGCTTCATACAAAAATTTATCAAACTCGTCTTTAGTGAAAACTGTAGACTTCTTTGCAGTATATCTTTCGCTTGTTTTTTTCAGAAAGGCACGTAACTTTAAAAATTTGTTTATATCCACATTTTTTCTAATAACTAACTCGGATTTTATCATAGAGTATCGTGACCACATTGTAGAAGATTTTCATTTATTTTCATTTTTCATTATATTAAAATATACCAGTAAAACGTCTTCGGTAACTTGCCGTACTCCTCTTGTATCGCACCACTCTTGGAAGTGCTTGTACGCTAACCGATACTTTATTCCGGACTTGGAAGGTCTCAAACGTGCTACTGCATTATTAGCCGCGGACTCAATTTCGTTTAGGTTTTCCATTTTTTTCCAACAACAATAAGCTGTCTTTAATAATTTCAAACAACTGTCAAACAACTGTAACCAGGGAGACGCAAATCCCACCGACGACTTAATTATTTTGATTTCTAACATCTAGACGACCTTGATAGTTGTCACAGTTAATTTCGAGTAAAATAGCGTATGAATTGTACTATTTATGGTTGAAAATTGCTACGTTTGAAGAAAAAATAGTATACTTTATTCGGCAAAGAAGCGACTTTTCTTGACTTGCCCTCTATTACGCGCCTCACTTCGTTCGGCGCGTAATATCGGGCGCGTCAAGAAAAGTCATGCTTCTCCGCCTCATAAAGTAATATATTATTTTATTTCCCTAATGAATTATTTCTCGATTTCCCGACTTGATTTCATGTAAAAGATAGAGATTTCTGTCAATATCCAATCCATTTGTTGTTTTTTTTAAATAATTTTAGATGGAGTAAAATACAGGTAAAAGTTATTGCGAGATATCCCATACAGTCATTGAATACCACATAAAGTCCCACATCATAATCAGTGCAGTAATATCTTGACTGACGCCTAACCTTCTTTCCATATTTATCTTTCACCTACTACATACAACACTTCATTCGTTCAATGATATTTTTTCCTTTGACACAAATCTAAGTCTTCTAGTGTCGTCTTCACTAATGAAGTTTGGTTATAACCATTGCAAATTCGTCCCTTTCTTCTTCTTTTCTTAAGAACTACTGTGTGTTTAACCCCGTCCAGTCTCGAATGTTTTTTAGCCAGGATATTTGTCGTCTGCCAGGATCCCATTTTCCTTCGATTTTACCCTCCATAATCAGCTGCAACAACTCGTACTTATCATTTCTAAGTATGTGCACTAAATATGCTGTCTTTCTATGGTGGTCAAAAGTTCTCTGTCTCTTCTCATTCTGTGCAACACCATTTCGTTCGTAATACGATCGGTCCATGGTATCTTCAAAATTCTCCTAAACAGCCACATTTCAAAAGTTTCATCTCCCATCTGAATAAAATACATCCCAGTATTCAATTCACGATGGAAGTTGAGTCTAAAGCGTTTTTGCCATTCCTTGATGCTCTCATTTAGAAACAGCCACCTCACAGTTTTTCCTACTCCGTGTACCAGAAACCTACCCATATAAACTATTATCTCAATGCCCAGTCACATCAGTACCCTGCCCAAATCAATTCAGTTAAAATAGCGTCCGTGAGGCCTGGTTTTCTAAAATATATCCATGCAATCTTTCTGGTAAGAATTTATAGTCCGTATTTTATGATTAATCCACGATTAATTTGTTGTGGATATACTTTTCTCCAATACTTGTAATATTAACTACAATTGTAACTATAGCTATATATAAATTCAAACATAATTAAAGGTTAATACATATAGTAATAAATTAGCTTGAACACTCGGCATCTAGTAGATGTTCCAGAAAAGCTGCGTGTGTGAAAAAAAAATAGAGCATCTGGAGTGATAATTGGCATTCCTAGAACTCTATCTATTATGTTTTTTTATTTTTATTTATTTTATTTATCCGCATCAACTACTTTGGTTATTAGGCACATTGGTAGTAGTTCTTTGGAGATAATGTAGCGGTGCGTAACTCGTGTATGCTCAATACTAAGTCTGATAATTTCCTTCTTTTTGTTTTGGTGGTATAGGAAGATTTTTTGAATGTACGTCTGGTTGGTTGTTTTTAAGATTTGTGTTTGTTTGATCCCATATTTCTTGTCAGATTTTATTTACATGGGTCTTGAATAAAGTTTTAGTATCTGATGTTGGTATACCTGTAGTCGGATTGGTCATATTGTTTATTGCTTCAAACGCTGTTTTGTCTGCTAGCTCATTACCAGTTATTTCGACATGGGATGGGACCCACATAAATGATATGGTTTTCCCAGAAAATTGGAGCTGTTGCAACGCGTTTTTAATTAGGAACATATTGATGTGTGTAGGATAAACATGTTTAATGAACTGTAAAGAACTTAATGAATCTAATAATATTAGTATTTGTTTTTCATTTGTGGTTTTACAATGATTAAGTTCGTCGAGTATTGCTTGGAGCTCTGTGGTATAAATATTACAGCCGTCAGTTAGTCTAGTGGCAGAAATTACGTTTTCTGATACAGTAGCAGTTGTATCTTATTTGAGTAAATTTGCATGATATTGAAGCCTAACCTCAGCAGAAATGTGTGAACGCTTATCATGATTAAGTAAGGAGAGGTTTACTATTGGTAAAGAAACTGTTCAGAGAGGTGTCTGGTACATGTTTGTGGGTGCCAAGGTGATTTGATTGATATAATACGGTAGTCCTTTAACTCGTTTGTAAAATGTTACTGTCTTGGTGGTGTAATTTGTGTATTGTTCTAGTGATTCTTCCGACACTAAACTTGCGAGAAGGGTATGACCCTTTGCGCTTAGAATTTTTAAAGCGTAGCATAGTGATATATATTGTCTTCTGAGGTATAGCGGCATTTCTCCTGCTAGGACTTGAAGGCTTCTTATTGGAGTAGTTCTAAAGGCTCCAAAGATTAGTCGTAAAGATGATCTATTATGTTTGGTCAACGCTTTATATATAATTTCCTTATTTTAAATAGAAAACTGTGATCATGATTTTACTTTTATGTGCGTTTTTCATATTAGCTGCTAGTTAGAGTGAAATTCTGGTTTTCCTCTTCTCATTTTTTAAGTATTAAAATGCAACTAATCTAGCTTTGTTGACAAATATCTCTTCGGCTACTTTTCATCGAACTTCTTTTCGCTTTGCTTCTAAATTAACTAACTATCAATATAAGTTGCGTAGTAGTTGTCAAATAATACTAAATCTATTTGATAAAATCCATTATCCGCAAGAAAAATATGTTAAACTTTGTATGAAATGCACATTTCATCCTATTTTTATTACCTTGTTTATGCTCTTAGAGATGATAAAAGCTGTTTTGAATGCTTCGAATTTGCTATAAATCTTATTATATTAGTTTTAATACACTCTATATTAAAGCAATCAAATAATACTCTACTTTTATTCGTCCGGAGATATATGGATTTTTAAATGGGTAATGTTAAATTTATATCTGGACTCTTTGGGTTAATGAACCCGAAAATTCAATATGTTTGGTGTGGTAAATCAATACTACGAGGGCAGTTAAAAAAAACAGTACACAATAATAT